TGTGTGTGTGTGCGTGTACGCGCGTGTGTGTGCATGTTTGTGTCCCACTTAACTCGAAAAGTTGTTGATGGACCCTCATGATATTTTGTATATATCAATATTAAAGCAGAAAAAAATGGCCTACGGGTGGATGGCAGTGACAAAGCAAGGTTTAGATGAAACGCCCTCTGGCGGAGTTCCGTTGTACCGCATGGGATCTTCATACATTGTAATTTCTGTTGCAGTCATTCACTGATCATGTTTTTTTTGTGACAGATTATTTTGTGACAATTCAGCAATTTCGGTTGAAAATTATACAAAAAGAATTAAGAAAACGAATAGATTTTTATGACTATATCTCAAATAATTCATACACTTTTTGATATAATTATACTTTCTTTTCATTTTCAGGGACCTCAAAAGTACCCTCATAATTTAATCGTTATCGACAAGACTAAAACCATTTACTGTTATATTTTTAAAACCGGAAGTACAACTGTACAACAAAACTTGTAATGTACAACCTCCAACACGACACAAATTTGACCCGCGCAGATATCGGCCCTAAACAAAAGTTACAGATTCACCATTACCCCTTTAAGTTCCTGAACAGCTACAGTATGGAAGATGCACAAATGCGTCTGAAGACTTACAACAAACTCATTGTCGTCCGCGATCCCTTAGAGAGGTATCTCTTCTTCTCATCTGAGTTTTTTTCTTGCCGCATGTGTTTGTGTGCATATTTGCATGTACATAATGTATGGATTGCTTATTTGCATGAGACCTTATTTGCATACTTGGGAATTTTAAAATATCATGCTCCCGCTACCAAAGCCAAATATGGCAAAAGTCTATCTAGGATAGGACATCAGATAGTAGGTAGGTCTACTGTTCTCTACTCTACTCTACTCTACTCTACTCTACTCTACTCTACTCTACTCTACTCTACTCTACTCTACTGTACTCTACTCTACTCTACTCTACACTACTCTTCTCTTCTCTTCTCTTCTCTTCTCTTCTCTACTCTACTCTACTCTACTCTACTCTACTCTACTCTACTCTACTCTACTCTACTCTACACTACACTACACAACACTACACCACTCTACACCACTCTACACCACTCTACTCTACACAACACTACACTAGTCTACACTTCTCTACTCTACTCTACTCTGCTCTACTCTACTCTACTCTACTCTACTCTACTCTACTCTACTCTACACAAAACTACACAACACTACACCACTCTACACCACTCTACTCTACACCACTCTACTCTACTCTATACAACACTACACCACTCTACTCTACACTACACTACACGACTCATCTATTACTACAATACGCACGTACTTGTTGCAAAATTCAGTAATCTTGGTTTAAACAATAAACGTTTTTCAGTTTTTTTAGTACAAATTATCTTAACATTAATAACATATTAAGTGAATTGTGCAATTTAAGTTTAAAAATTCGTAATTTATCTAATTCCATGCCGACATTGTTCAAAAGCCAAGATGGTGGACCTTATCATCATGAATGTTATCTTGAAAGTTCATCTGTGTTGGTAGAAGTCATTATGCAGTAAGTTTAAACTGTAATTAATTTCCAACAGAAGAAATTGGACTCACCCAAATTTTCGACTGTACGACTCCAGTCTTTGTCAAGGAATGAACAATCCACCGCTTCTGTGACGTCACGCAGATAACACGTGACTCCGTGAGCAGTGGATCATAGGTTGTAGAAAGTCTGTGGCGCCCCCCGTCCCCCGTCTCCAATTTCTTGTGTTGCAAATTACAGTTTAAACTTGCTGCATCATGAATTTTATTTGTGACGTTTCAGGCTAGCCTCTGCCTGGCTTGATAAATTTTTCATCAGTCCAGGTCGCTTCAGCTTCATAAGGAGGTTACGGCAGGCTGTAGGGAATTCAAAATTCGGAAATACAACAACAAAAAGGGTATGGATCTTCATCTTGTAGATTCATAAACAAAAAGAAATAAAATACCTTAAAATGTTTAAGAATTCAAAATTAATACTAAAAGAGTATATTACTTTAAAATTTGAATACCTAACACTCTAAGGCGTAAAATATTATATTAATATTTCACAATTTAAAAACGAAATAAAATATTTTTAAATCTTGTACGACATGATATTCTAAATTCTAGAAGGGGACATATATTCTAAAATTTCAAGGGGAATTTAAATTAAAGTATGATATACTAAATGTTATCAATATAAAATTCTAACATTAAAAATGATATTATTTCAGATTATATTATAACACAATTTTTCTAGGAGAATAATATTTAGATTCTTAAAGAGTGTTTAATATTGTAGACCTAGAATATAGAAGGAATATTTTCTAGATTTAGAAGACAGTATGCGTACAAAGCAACATAATGTGTGTGTTTTGGTCATTTACACATGTACATGTACATGGCAAGTATGTAATAATTTCACAATAATCAACATATTTTCGCCCAAATTTTCGACTGTACAACTCCAAACTTTGTCAAGGAATGAGCAATTAACCGCTTCCGTGACGTCACGCAGATAACACACGTGACTCCGTGAGCAGTGGATCATAGGTTGCAGAAAGTCTGTTGCGCCCCCCCCCCGTCTCTGTTGAGGGATGGTTGTAATGCCCTGATGTAGATTCCCCTCAACAGAGACGGGGGGCGCCACAGACTTTCTTCAACCTATGATCCACTGCTCACGGAGTCACGTGTGTTATCTGCGTGACGTCACGGAAGCGGTGGATTGCTCATTCCTTGACAAAGACTGGAGTCGTACAGTCGAAAATTTCTTGTGTTGGAAATTACAGTTTAAACTTGCTTCATAATGATTTCTACCAACAGAGATGAACTTTCAAGATAACCTATTTTCGATATTAAATGTGTTTTTCAGGCTTTGCCCACGAATAGATCTAGACGAGGATCCATGCATGGGGCTAGGAGAGCTCCACCAATTTCCATCAGGGATTTTGTCTGGAGTATTATCAACAATAAATATAGAAATGAACACTGGGAACCGTTCTTCAGTCAGTGTGCTCCCTGCCAGGTATGTTATAATTAATTAATATCACATCATACTTTAAGACTTCCTTATCTTCTTTCTTTGTAATCGTTAATATTAGTCGAAAGGGAAACTATATCATATCAGAATGGTTTTTATCTAACCCTTTATCACACACACACACACACACACACACCACACGTCACAAACACACACGCCACACACACACACTCACACACACACACAAACACACACACCACGTCACAAACACACACGACACACGCCACACACACATCACACACACATCACACGTTACAAACACACACGACACACACACACAAACACCAATCACACACACACCACACGTTACAAACACACACGACACACACACACCAATCACACACACACCACACGTACAAACACACACGACACACACCACACGTCACAAACACACACGACACACACACACACATCACACGTTACAAACACACACGACGCACACACACCAATCACACACACACCACACGTCACAAACACACCTGACACACACACATAAACACACACACAAACACATACACTCACACACAAACATACAGCACACGTTACAAAAACACATGGCACACACACACACATACACAATCATATAAATTCACGCACACACACACAGACACACACACACACACACACACACACACCAGACACAAACACACCACACACACACCACACCACACACACAAATAATTGCACAGTCTCTCGCTTTTTGAGTGACACTGGTACATGTATATCATGAAGAGAGCCGGTTCCCAAAACATTATTAGGCAAGCATGACCAACGACATTTCTCGCTGTGTAGTACAACACGTTAATTGTAAATCTATACTCTATTTGCAGGTTCAATACGACTTCATCGCTCATACGGACACGCTGGTAGAAGACCTTCGTCTGTTCTTCCACATGAGCGGTATCGTAGGGAAGGACGGCATCCTCCCGAGACAGCACCCGTCTCGGGCTAAAGCAGGCTTCGGCAGGACCTTCCGAGTGGTCCCGCCGGAGGACATACGTCACCTCGGAGAAATCTACAAACCGGATTTTGACATGTTCGGATACTCGATTGAGGAGGACCTTGAAGCGATTGAAAACGCACTAAAACAAAATGTCTGAGTTAGCGATAGTCCATTTTTAGTACGGACCAAAGATCTGTAAAAGTACGTGTAACCGCCAGCCAATGTCTTACCGCTACCAAGAAAAGCATCGCGAGTCTGATTCTTCTTCTTGGTTAGGTAAAGGGACCACCGGCTTTGAATTCCTTATGTCTAATTCCTCGTATAAAGTGTTTTAAACTTAAATTTAACTTTGCCGATCCAAGATGGCGGCTAGATTGAATAAGTATGACGTCATTTATGACGTAATTATGACGTCGACGTACGTTGTTACCATAGGCAACATAAGTCTTAGCAGCTCTTTATATTTATTTATATTCACCGTTTTGTTCAATTTTTTTGTATACTTTTGGTATGCCTAGACGTTTTTTTTAGTTCATTAGACCAAAGAAGTTTATCACAGTGGATATATTAACTTGCAGCTTTTTGCACCTTGGGTAGAGCTAGATGCTTGCTGCCATGCATGTTCACAGAAAAATTGAAATGAAAAATTACAGTGTTAGTGTTTCAAGGATTTTTACTTAAATGTACCATCCTCTGTCTATTTGGCACACTATAGCTAGAACAAAATTTTGATCTGCAAGTCTCCAAAATCCACGTAATGTATACTACATTAAATCAAGTAACAATTAGTAATTTATAGTAACATCTTGTGCCATTCTGGCCAACTACAACTGTTATATCAGGTTTAACTGCAAGAAGTCTCCACAACCCACAATCTATTTTAGATACCATACAATACAAAAGTAAAATCTACTATTAATGATATTACATGATTGTGTAAAGGCAACACACTTCTTTTGAAACTTCATCAATGACTATTGCAATTTGAATATAATAGTTTCTGCAGTCGTGCATTACATTTTTATAATATGATCTGCTACTAGATTTTCAAACTTAGATTGCCCATTACTTACATAGAACTCTCCCTGTTTAGGTAATGGTTAGTAAGGACGTTTAAAGAGGCCGTTTTTTTACCCTGGGTAAGAACAATAAGAAAGTGCTCCCACTGTGACCTTCCCAGCAGATTGAATAGTGGCTTGTAAATGTGATGACTACTTGCAGTCAGATACACCAGTGTAGACTTAGGTTCTGGGCATGTAACTGCAAGCCAAGGTCTCAAGCTACAAGCCAGAACATGGCAAGTCATATCTGTCATTACTCATGTACTTTATATTCTGGTTTACTAGTACATATAACTTCTTATATGTATGTGTGTCTCATTTCAAAAGTGTCTTGAAGAGAAATTTTAACTTGGCAAGCTAAACTGTCTTAGACAGGCCTCCCCCCATGTATACTGTACGGCTGCCAGGACAAGACTGAAGTCTGGTAGTTTATGTTATCGAATTTATATCGGCAGGGTGGGGTCATTATATAGTGTTACTGGCCTCTTTAACAGTTACTACACAGTGTGAATTGTTGCATTTAACACATGTCCTTGTGTTCAAGACTTACATTACAACGTAAAAAAAAAATACGGCGCGTAATTTGACGCTTTTTATTCACCGAAGCACGATATTTAATCGTCTACATGCATACATTCATGTAAATTACACCGTCTTGTATTTACGTCATCACCTCCTATATGGCCAAGCCATAGCAAAGCCACATTTCGCAACCTTGCTACTAGAAAAAGCAGTATACTTCACTTCTGAGGAGGATGACTTACAACATCATCTGATAATGTAGAAAAAAAAACATGTAAAAATCCCTTGTAAATGAAACGATATTAAAGACAAAAGACCGAAGTAAAGTATCTGCTTTGTTCTGGCGTGCGTGCGTGCGTGTGCGTGTGTGTGTGTGCGTGTGTGTGTGTGTGTGTGTGTGTGTGTGTGCATGTCACTCAAGGAGGCTTAGATGAATTAAGTTGATACTTGTCAGGCGGGTAGAGCTAAAAATGATTAGATTTTTGCCTACTGGCGGCTTGTAATGGTACTACAGCAGGTTTTGCTATCTTGTGATCTGGACATACTGGGTCATGATTTTTGGATAGTAGGTAGCTACATTTTTATCCTTTTTTTTACCATGAAATTGAAGTTAGTAGTCTTCGTAATTGTATCATCTAATCAACCTTCTTCGCAACATATAATTGCCTAGCAACGAGACGGGTCGTCATTGGTCGTTATAAGTAGATTACCTGCTTGACAGGGGCACAGGGCGGTTTCGCACACCTGTGTAAAAAAAAAAGTTTGGTATGGTCCTTTCAAAATGGCGCTTTCGTACGACGGGCGAACTCTGGGCTGATTTTTTTTACAACTTTGGGGTACTTTTAAAGTCTTTGTCGGTTGAATTTTTACAAGTGTGCAGTGGAATGTTGCGGACATTTTGCTGTGAATTTGTGCCGTTCTGGGGATGTTTTGAAGAGAAAAATAGGATTTCCTGACCTGGCGAATTTTGGAGAAGAATACAAAATGGCGAGACAGTTTGGAAGAGTAGCGAGGTATGGAGACGACTTCGCTTAGTGTTGCATGTAAACCAGCAAATTGTTTGGCTGACATTCTTCCCAAGCAACTATAGTACGAACATGTCAAGTTATATTCCGTGAGAAATGATCTATTTCTGTATTAGAGAGCCACCTTTGCTAATTTTAGGCAGGCTTTGAAAAAATTTATCAAGTTGCCGCGTTTTCAACATTTTTTAATGTGCTATGTGCTTGTAGAGTTTTAAATGTAATTTTTGTCAGTCGTTCAGCGTTATTAGGTCAACGTTATATTCGTTGATAGAAATTTTGTATTGACTATTTTTTTTTCTTTCCTTTATCTCCACGTGGTTCAAAACACCTGTTGGAATGTGGTTGTGTGCATGATTAAATTTTTCGTGATCCCGCCAAAAGCTCGAGTAAACAAGACCAGGTAGGGTCCGCAAAGCTTCAAGGCGACCAACAAGCAACTGGTATTCGAGAATGAAAGAATGTGACATCTCATCTAATGTCTGTATAGTTAGGTGGCTGCTGACTGATGCAGTAGTGGGGACTCCTGTCTGAACCTGACAAGACAGATTGGACCAGACCAGATGATTTTAAGACCCCAGAGGAATATCTGGTGAGAAAAATTTCAATTCTGCATTTTACCTACAGCTATTTGTTGTTATTTGAGACAAGTGTGTAACTTCTAATGTCTGTATAGTTAGGTGGCTGCTGACTAATGCAGTAGTGAGGACTACCGTCTGAACCTGACAAGACAGATTGGACCGGACCAGATGATTTGAAGACCTAAGAGGAAATTTAGGTGAGAAAAATCCCTCTTCTGCATTTTACCTACAGCTATTTGGTGTTATTTGACACAAGGAACTTGTGTGTAGTTTTAAGGTGGCTGTTGACTGATGCAATAGTTAGGACTACTGTCTGAACCTGACAAGACAGATTGGACCAGACCAAATGATTTAAAGACCTATGAGGAAATTCAGGTGAGAAAAATCCCAATTCTGCATTTTACCTACAGCTATTTGGTGTTATATGAGACAAGTGTGTAACTTCTAATGTCTGTATAGTTAGGTGGCTGCTGACTGATGCAGTAGTGGGGAATCCTGTCTGAACCTGACAAGACAGATTGGACCAGACCAGATGATTTGAAGACCCACGAAAAATATAAGGTAACAAAAATCCCAATTCTGCATTTTACCTACAGCTACATGTATTTGGTGTTATTTGAGACAAGTGTGTAACTTCTAATGTCTGTATAGTTAGGTGGCTGCTGACTGATGCAGTAGTGAAGACTTCTGTCTGAACCTGACAAGACAGACTGGACCAGACCAGATGATTTAAAGACCCACGAAAAATATAAGGTGAGAAAAATCTCAATTCTGCATTTTACCAAGAGCTATTTGGTGTTATTTGAGGCAAGTGTGTAACTTCTCATGTCTGCATGGTTAGGTGGCTGCTGACAGATGCAGTAGTGGGGACTCCTGTCTGAACCTGACAAGACAGACTGGACCAGACCTGATGATTTGAAGACCCCAGAGGAACATCTGGTGAGAAAAATCCCAATTCTGCATTTTACCTACAGCTATTTGGTGTTATTTGAGACAAGTGTGTAACTCCTAATGTCTGTATAGTTAGGTGGCTGCTGACTGATGCAGTAGTGAGGACTACCGTCTGAACCTGACAAGACAGATTGGACCAGACCAGATGATTTAAAGACCGGTACCCACGAAAAATATAAGGTGAGAAAAATATCAATTCTGCGTTTTACCTAGAGCTATTTGGTGTTATTTGAGACAAGTGTGTAACTTCTAATGTCTGTATAGTTAGGTGGCTGCCGACAAATGCAGTAGTGAAGACTACCGTCTGAACCTGACAAGACAGACTGGACCAGACCTGATGATTTGAAGACCACAGAGGAATATGTGGTGAGAAAAATTTCAATTCTGCATTTTACCTACAGCTATTTTGGTGTTATTTGAGACAAGTGTGTAACGTCTAATGTCTGTATAGTTAGGTGGCTGCAGACAGATGCAGTAGTGAGGACTCCTGTCTGAACCTGACAAGACAGATTGGACCAGACCAGATGATTTGAAGACCAAAGAGAAATATCAGGTGACAAAATCCCAATTCTGCATTTTACCTACCACTTTTGATGTTATTGGAGACAAGTGTGTTAATAACTTATGTCTGTGTTAAGTTAGATGGCTGCTGACTGCATAAGTAGTGGTGAATTCTTTGTAAACCTGACAAGAGCAGGTGATTTGAAGACATGAGATGACAATCAGGTGAGAAAAATCTTAATTCTGCATTCTACCTATTATTTTCTTTATTCTGAAAGACCTAACATCTAAAATAATGTCTGTTATTAGGTGACTGCTGACTAATGCAGAAGTGGGGACTCCTGTCTGAACCTGACAAGAAGATTGAACCAGATCAGATGATTTAGAGACACAAGAGCAAGATGACCACAACATTATCCACAGGTAAGACAATGCTTTAGAAGATCTGTTAATTTGACTATAGAACTCTTCTCTTATGTCTTACACTTTATATAAATAACACATATGTAGCAAAACATCTTTCACATTATATTTGTAAGTGTAGCTTTTACAGGTGAGACAATGCCTTTCGAT